ATATATAAATTTATTTTAAATGCTATTCTTACTCTAGCATTAGCTTCATGGCTAATTAGTTAAATTTATCATGGTAACAATAGATGTGGATCCCGACAAGTTTATTAAATATGTTGTCATTCTGAAAGTTTCATCATTTTACTCTTATTATATGTGATTATTATTTTGAATGTTTCCTTCTCTCTGAATCATTGTTGAGTCATGATGAAAGAATTAAGAGAAGATTTAAGATTCAATGTTACACTATCATAGTATTAGATTATACAAAGTGACCCAACACTTAACAGAGTTTTTAAGACATACTTACTGATTGGATTGTTTAATAAATCAAGTCTTTGCTGTTTTGTCTAGGTGTACTATAAAAATACTGAGACACTAAAAATATGTAAACAGACAGGTCAGGAACTGCTGACTTGGGGTCAACTTGAAGTCGTCTTTAGCAGCCTTGGACACTCACTATGTTCAGTGTCCCTCCATTGCTACCATCATTTTCATCCCCATCTTCCCTAGTTTCTGTTATCATTCACTTCAGCCATCCACTCTACAACATCTCCTCCTTTTCTTTTCCCCTTTTCTGTTGCTTCTGCCAAGATAAGCATTCACTTGCCAAAATCAATAGGATATCAATCAGTGTAAGAGTGTTATGTTACCTTGTGATGTTTGGGCATAGCATTACCTCTGCTTCTTGATAGTCTCTGGGGTTTCATCCTCAGGATTTTCACCTGTATACATTGTTTCAAATATTAGTTGTCTTCTTAAATCTCTAACACTAACCAGAAGCTTATTACTGAATTTAACATATGTGTTTGAAAAAATTTTTCTTCCCTTCTCAGTGAATGAACAGTATCAACATCTATTCTAGTTAACCAGCTCCTGGTTAACCAGAATTCTGTAGTTCACTTTTGATTTTTCTATTTCTTTGAGGCCTCCTTATTATTAGCAACACTATGTAATGGATGGAAAAATGGCCTCAGTTCTCCACTGTTCTCTTTGCAAGGTGACTTGACAGTTTCTCTTGTAATTCTTTTTTAAGTTTTTCAAATTTGGGCTGGCCTTGTGAGTTGATTTGCTCAAAAGAATGGTGTAGTGGCATTGTGCAGAGTTAGGGTCTAGGCCTCAGAGCCTGGCACAGTGTCACTGGTATTGTTGGAAACCTGCTCAGCTGCTGTGTGAACAAGTCTGTGCTGGCCCAGCAGAGGAGCAGGCCATGTGAAGCAGTGGACCACTCAATTGAAGGGGCTCTGTACCAGCCAGCTGTCACCCAATGGCAGACACATTAGTGAGCTTATTTAAATTTAAATTTACAAAGAATTTTTAATGACATAGGAAATTTTCTGACATTGATAGAAAAAGATACTGTGTAATATATAGAGTTTTCACAAAATGTTAGATTTCCTTTTAAGTCATGCCTGAGTGTTCATCTGAGCAGTTTGCCTACTAAAAAGTGAAACTTAAGTAGAATTTTTAAAAAAGCATTTTTACTTGCATCTAGGACCTGGAAATATCCTAAGAGATTAAGTAATTACAAGGATAATGTTATTAAACTGAAATTGCTACAGACTCTTCTTCTTGAGGGTGAATTTCAGATTTGATTTTGATTGTCCTTAGAAACAATAAAGACAGAATACAAAGCTTTTCTGGATGTCAGAACCCTAAGGAATGTATATACCCTTGGGGTAAGAGTGAGCAAAAAGCCTGCTATAGTACTTGTGCAGAATTTCAGATCATTCCAAATTCAAGTCATCTGTGTGCTACAACAAAAGTTGAGACTTTACCTAACATGGCCTCAAATAAGTGCCTGGCAGATGTAAAATATTTGGAAGATGCTAGGGTCATAATTTTCTTAGGGAAATGGATGCCTTACATTGAAATAAACTCCACAAGGAAAGCTAGCACCACAAGGCAGCAAAGGCAGACCACCAGAAAGCTCAGATATTGAAATTAGCACATGTATAATACAAAGCCCGTGCGTTAAAAGAGTTGCTTCTAATGTCTACATGAATAAAGCATTATAAAAACTGACTAGCATAGTTGAAAAAGAATGAAATTGAACTTTAGAAATGAAGAACAATAAATAAAACAAAACAACAAAAAACAAACCTCAATGGACAGATTTAACAAAAGGTAAGATAGACCTGAAGTAAGAGAGACTGGAGTATAGCATAGAAGAAATCCAGAATGTTGCATAGAAAATTAGCTTGAAAACATGAGAGTTCAAGAAAGGGCAAGATGGTTCTATGTCTATCTCATAATTTCAAATGGGTTGTGGGATAGAAACAATGTTTGAAGATATAACTGCTGAGAATTTTTTAATTAAAAAAAACTATGAGAGGGCTGGGGATTTAGCTCAGTGGTTCCACCACCTGCTGCGCAAGCACAAGGACCCGAGTTCAATCCCTGGTACCAAAAAAAACCCCAAAACACTATGAGATAGATATGAAGTCCTCACTTTGACATACCATAATCAAAGTAGAACACCAAAGACAAAAAACTTTTTAAATTAACCAAAAGTCCCAGATAACCTTGCAACGGACATAGGTAGAGCAAGATAGTTCTTGAATGTAATTGGCAAGTCAGCTGCTTCCCCTGTTCTCCACTATAGTTCTTAGAAAAATATGCTGGGAATGTGCTGGTAATGCAAAATTCTGAGATAAGGAGAGACTGTTCAGAACAGCCTGGGTTCTATTACTGTCTCTCCTAGAACAGGATATCCTTTGTGACAGTTAAACTGGATTATCAACTTGATTTGCTTTAGAGCCACCCAGGGGAATTAGTAAAACATACATATGGGTGTGTCTGGGTGAGTCATCAAGGCATGACCTTGGGTACCATATTTAATCTTTGGTCCTTTACTCTGTTGCCCTTCCAGTCCTCTGAATTTCTGGCTACAATTGGCATTTACTTGGTAGTAAATGATTAAGAAGCCTCATTTTTTGAAATGTAAATGAAACTAGACAGTGGTGAAAATGCTTAATAAAATAGGATTAAAATTAAAGCAGCATTTATAGTAAATTGATTAATGTGTCTAGTAGAAACAAAAAAAGGCTAAATATTACAGGAGAAACATCTAAAGCTAGAAAAGACAAAATTATCTCAAAATATATTAGCTTAAAGAAGATTAAGAAATCAAAAGTTTTTGTTCAAAAAAGATTCATAAGAATGAAAGATACTGAGCCAGTCCCAGTGCCTGGTAGGAGGCTCTCCCGCCACCATTCCACGCTCCTAGGGCAGAGAAGGTGAGCCAGTCCCAGTGCTCAGGAGGAGGCT